TGTATCCCTGTAACAGGCTGTGGAGGCCCATAGGGTTGTGAGATGTTGAGGTTCCCACATTTTCTAGAAAATCGGCCCATAGATGACGGCAAGGTTGTCAGCTCTACACACCGGCTGCCCTTTACCCCAAAGAATATTCCTGGTATTCATTTCTGTTAGAGGCTGAATCAACCCCAGGGCCATAGTGCAGCTGGAAGGATTAGTTAAACTGAAAAATTCAATGACTCATCGGGACTTGAACCAGTGACCTTCCGGCTTATAGCATAGTCCCTCAACCAACTATGCTACCCCCCTTTGAACTCTGGTACACATGANAATCGGGAAAATGCACGTGATAATTCAAGTAGTTTCCTAGCACCAACTCTGAAGTGCTGATAATCAGGATGAATTTCAGAAATCAGCCAAGAACATTCATTTTTGTGGGTTTGGCACAATCTGTATATAGCTCAGTCAATGTAAACTTGTGGAAAATGAAAATTAGATAATTTGAAATTAATTGAGTTAAAGTTGCTTGCACACACATTACAGTGACTTCACATTATGTTGTACCAATATATCAACTGGTTTGGTTCATTCAGATAATAAAAGTCTTTTTTTTGTGCTATGTCTCCCCATCCATACAGGTAACATGTAATTTCATTGGGAACTTGATTAGACTCTGGGTACTCACCCAAAGCCCAGCTTTAGAAGGCTTTAAGGTATTTATTTTAAAAACAAAATGAATAGCCTGACCTTTCTAAAATGGAACCAGGGGCCTAATATTTTCAAAATAAAATGAAGAGCCTAACTTGCAGTTGGAGGCGCATTATAAGGTCAGGCTTTGGGTCTTGTTTTTACAAATATATTGGCAGTGGTGGCAGACAACATGGTGATAACTTACTGGGTAACCTGCCAATACTGGACACTCTGTTCATTAGTGATTCACTGTAGAAGAAATATTCGACTTTGTGAATACAAGTAGATGTTAAAACTTTACTCTTTTCAACGAAGTTTGATTTGCGCCATTCATACTTTGAGATGTGGGATCTAAGAGTAAGTAAAATTATGAAGAAAGCAGTAAGTAAAATAAAATTATGTTTAGTTCTATACCATTCCCAGTTCAAATTAATGTAAATAGTCCATTTCTCTCTATATATACTTCTATAAATTTGCCATGTGAAATACTATATTGCTATATGTAAATGGGCATTTTAATATAGAACAGTGATGTTAAGGTTTGAAATATTCATACCCAAACTATATGATGGGTTATTAAAATGTGTAACAATGCACTTCATTTGCATTCACTTATTTTGAGAGAAAAATGTGTGTTTTTTGTGGTGGCAAGGAAGACACATTAAATATATTGTCATGTGTGCCATATATTTTATTTTTATTATGAAATTGTTCAGAGATGGGAAACTATTAGATATATTAGAATTTTTCAAGCCCCAAGGCACTGACTGATTGCCAATGCTTTCAAAATCCTTTGTAGTTCTGTATTTAGATATGTTAGAATGGAAGCCAAGGAGCCTGCACCAAAGCAACTGCACATTGAACTGAATTCTGATCACTTTGAATGTTGACATCTTCCTTTAAGTGGGATATTATGTGAATATAATGTAATGTAACAATCCTTGCAAGAGAGTGGTGTAGTCTTCCTGGCTTAGTTATCCTGACTTCTGCGTAAACAGTTTTTTAATTGCATATTTTTGGACAGCCATGGACCCTGAAAATTTGTAAGGTTACTTACTCCTTTTTGTCATATCCCAGAAGACAAGAAAATTTGTTTGTTCATCAGACTTTTTTGCTTCAGTGTCACATTTAACACATTGGCCATATGAAATGGATTCTGAAGATATTTTGGACTTCAACAGATGGAAATTATGGTATCAGGTGGCTCATTACCACATGTACAGTACTTTGTAACATGTTTAACTGCAGAAAACAGAGGGTTATGAACATGAACTAGAATATGCAGTCATGTTGCATCCAGTGTGATGAAAATTAAGTTAGATTGTATGATTTCTGGTTTGTATGGGTCACAGCTTTAATGGTTCATTATTTGTGCTCTAGACTTGGTTTTTTGTTATGCAAGAAAGAAAAAAAATATATATATATACTTATACAATTAGGAGCACATGCTTACCATAATGTAAATATCTGACAATGTATTGTACTTCCAAGCTTCCTGTAATATGAATGCCTATAAATTGCACAACAACCGTTCTCTTGACTGTGATATTCGTTGGAATCACCTAATCTTTGTTCAGCGCTTTGGATTTCAGTTGTGTTACTTACCTGTGAGAACAGTGATGGTGTCAAGAGTTACTGTGTGCATAAATGATAAATTTTCAGCCAGTTCACATCCAGGATTTATCATTATGAAGTTGGGTGCTTCTGTGCTTTACTGCACGAGAATGCCAAACATGTTCACACAGTGGTCTTACAGTTCACTTCTGATTCACATTGGCTCCTCTGACATGTTTTTGAGATTTTCCTCTTTCCAGTCCTGGAAGATATCTTGAAAATGGCCAGAGCTACATCTTCTCCCCATCATCCTCTCATCTCATTTGTGCAGGTGATATGGTGATATTATTCCTTTGCTTCATACAAAGGGTAATTAAATTGCCTAATTTTACCTGTAGTTTTGTATGGGTGTGAAACTTGGTTTCTGACTTTAAGGGTAGAACATAGATGGATGGTGCTGAGGAGAATATCTGAACCCAAGGGGGGGGGGAGTTTGGAGAAAAATACATTATGAGGAACTCCATAACTGTACTCTCCACCAAATAGAATGGGGAAGTCAAGGAGGATGGAATGGGCAGGGCATGTACCACGCATGGAATAAGAATACATATAGTGTGTTGGTGGGAAAACCAGAAAGAAAGAGACCACTAGAAGCACCTAGATGTAGATGGAAGAATAATATTCTAATGGACCTTAGAGAAATAGGATGAGAGTATGAAATAGAATCAACTGGCTCAGGATAGGGACCAGTGGAGGGCCCTTGTGAACATGGTAATAAACCTTTGGGTTCCATAAAATGTCAGGAAATTCTTGGGTAACAGAGATTGTCGTCTTCTCAAGGAGTCAGTGTAGTTAGAGCCATTAGATTTCAACATCTGTCAGCATTATTCATTGAAAAATGTTGAGCACCATGCAGAATTGTCATCTTATAAATCTGATTTTTTAACTCAGTTTTGGTGTGGTGATATATGTCAGGCATGAGGGTTTGGTGAAAACCAAAATGGGGTGTCGTGTCAAGAAGAACCACTGTCCTATAGCCTGCAAAGATGAAGAGAGATGTTTTTCAACTGGTGTTTCCCCGTCTGTGGCTGTGTGTTTGTGCCCAGTTTTGCCAAGGGCAGTATATGTTTTCATGTATGCAATAGTTTTAATATGTGTACACACACATGAAATCAGCAGCTACCGCACAAAGAGATCCACGTTTGCTAGTTTGAAGACTCTAAAGGCATACTAAATCATTTACACAGCATCCAGCAACCTTTCTGTAGCCAACCGTATATTCTTGCTTTATCTAATGATATAAACGTATTATTGGAATTGTAGTTCGGTAGAGACCCATCGATGTTTCATAGGACCATATCGCCTGCATCTTTAGGGTTGAAAACCAAACCATGCAAGAAACCAGCAATGAGCAAACAGAAAGCAGCCTCTGAATACAAAAAAAAAAAAAAAAAAAAAGCCATGAAAACTTTNACTTTCATTTCAAATTAATCACTAGAGGGTAAAAACAGACACATGCTCCAAACACAAAACTATGAAAGTGTACTTGACAGAGGCGCCTGTCGCTTAAAAAACACCTGACGTTAACCCAAATGCAACAGATTTTGAAGTGTTGTCAGATGACGGAAAGGCCTTAAACGTGCGTCAAGGAGGGGCAGAACCTGCAACGCCCCTTCCCTAAGACTAGAATTTACTCTTTATACACTGTACTCCAGACTCAAACATATGCCATCGTGAACAAGGCATTGTGAACAACCTCGTTCACATTTGTATTCACACAGAATCCAGACAATATTACAGGATGTCTATACAAGCCTTTGTAGAATTGAAAGACACAAATTTCCGCTATGCCATCTGTCCTGAAAGATCACATTTTACGCTAGGGTTTCAAATTTATGATTCTCTTGTTGGTAAAGTCCTTCAATAAGGAGCAACATGTCCTTCAAGGCATGCAAACCAGAAACTAGTGTGGCTTGTTTGCTCTTGGCCATTTGCCTCCTTTGGTGTAAACTTCTTGGCGAAGGCAACAAGAGGCCAATAGTTGTAGCAGGTACATGTTTTCTGGTGTGTTAATTGCCCTTTTATTCTAAATTAACTCCGTGGCCTGCAGTCCGCAAGCGAAATATACGGACCGAACGACCGCCGCTTGTCGGCGAAGTTAAAGCCAACTTTTGCGGATAGAGGGTGTCACGTGGTCAGCGGAACGGTTCCCCACGACCGTTAATCTCGGTTTTCTAGACCGGAGCCGCTATTTTCTTGGAATAGCTTCTCAATTATCCTCACAAGGCTGAGTGGACCCCGTTTTAGAGATATACCACTTCTCAGAAAATCTGGCAGTGCCGGGAATCGAACCCGGGACCTCTGGATCTGTAGCCAGGAACACTTACCACTAGACCACAGTGGCGGTCTCAAAGAAGACGAAACGGTAACAAGTATTTATTCACGTCCTGAACTTTGTGAATGGCTGCAGAACCCTCAGTAATTAAGACGAATAGAAAGGCTTATCACTTTATCCTCCACCGTCCTTGGCCTTTTCATCTCTGTGCCTGACGCGCACTAAGCCCTGGGCTTTACTCAGCCTCTAACAGAAATGAGTACCAGGAATTAATTAAATAATTTTCCTGGGGAGTAAAGAGCGGCCGGCGCTTAAGGCTGACAACCTTACCGCCATCTTTGAGCCGATTGTCTAGATAATGTGTGAACCTCAAAGTCTCACAACCCTATGGGCCTTCACGGCCTGGTACGGGGTTAGCTTTACTTTACTTACTTACCAGTGAAATATTCGGATTTCCGTGCGGCGTCTATAATAAATTGAATCGTCGCTGGAACAACTTCAAGACATTACTTCCCTCGGGAATAAATGGCTGCATATTCGTGTTAGCTATGAGGCTACGTTAAATGCAGACAGGTTCTCTCTGTTGTTCTCTCTACATGCGCAGGCGCTGCTGATGTTTTCGCTGTTTTCGTTGGAAGAATTGAGCTGTAGAATGACAGTAATATCCGTAAGCATTCTGTAATGTACCATTACTGCAGGAAGAAATTTCCCACCTACTCGTCCGTTGCCAACAGAAGAAGACAAAAACGAAATTTCTTCTTCTGCTTATTCGCAAACAGGCATTTCCCTTGTCCAAGCGTATGATGCGGTAATTTCCCGAAAGAGTACTGAGCAAGGGGCGCCCCATTTTTAACGACAGGCATCGTGGGGTTAGAAGGAGCGTGGATTTTATATATTGTGCTCCAAATTTAAAATGCTGAACACAGCAATCAACTGCAACGCTGAACTCATAATAACGCATAATAAACTCATGGACGTGTATGTACTCCATTACTTGGTCATAACCATCTACACCGGAAAAGAATGTGACATATTTACTCAAAGCAAGAACTGTGGAGCCAGAGAATCAGCCGTTGCTATGAAAAGATCGGGTAAAAACGTTTCCGCGACGAGTCCACACCTTACAATGGAAGTATTGTTTCGAGACGGTGCTTCTTGTTAGGTCCGCCCCGGGGCTGTATCACAAGGGCCCCAAGCCAGCTGAGATGATTGACTGAGAAGAGCTGCAACGAGATGGTTAGCACATTCAGCAGAGAATTGGGTTGAGAGTTCCGGAGTGGATAGTTGAGGGTTGACAAGAGTTCTGCACGGGAGGGGGGCGGCACAGCAAGACACAGCAAGCTGGAAAATGCTTAGCGAATGCTGTGGTAAAGTGTGACGCACAGCAGCGGCGCTGTAGTTGCTTGTAGTTCTGAGTTGTGTGTATAAGTGGTCAGTAAATCCAATCCAATTACCCCGTATATAGTCACACCCCATAAATCGTGATAATAATTTTGATGCTTTTTGACGGTCACATTCTGGCCGGCCTAGTGATAAAGGGGCGCAAATGCGAGATGGGCCGGCCTCTTATCTCCTCAAGCCTCATGAGGCTCTCTTCCTTGGGAGAGCGAGTATTATTTTTAAATAGTTAAAAATATGAGCAACACACGAATTTCCTCACCCAATGTTCAGCACTGTGAACAGAATATAAAACATTTATTTTAAGGTGTACCTCCTTGTAAGATAATACTTTCTGGAGAATAGCTTTAGTTCATGTGTATAGCGCGATTTCTTTCGATTTGTCTGTACTTCTCCAGTTATGTCTATCCACATCTTTCCCACTACATGTATTTTTCGAATAGTCTCTCTTCATATTGAATATCTTTCAATGTTAACTTTCTGATCATCCCTCATAGTGCCGCGCATGTTGCAACGCGACGTGTCCCTGTCTCATTTAGTTTGAGTAACGGCATCACGTGGACATATGCGTCATGCGTTACGCATCTGTGTCATCCGGCGTGAAATGAACCTTTGGGTATCACCAATGGGGACAAATTTCTCTACAACCCCACCCCATCGAGTTAACTGGTGATTATAATACGGTGATGAAACATCCACGAATGTGGTAATTCTCTCAGTGGGAATCAGATCACGTTCTTAAGATATAAAAACATTATCATTATCACAGTGGTATGACTTCAGCCACAGGATATACAACCCTCTTGCCTTCGAAGTTGGTATAGGTTGCCTTCACAAGCCTTAGGAGGGTAAATTAAGAATAATGGTTGCATGCACATCTGTAATATATTTTCTTTCGCCAGAATACTTCTTAATATCGTACATGGTTATTTTACGACGTTCACGAGCAAGAAAATAAAAGTTTCTGTTGTTTTGAATTCCACAATAAGCCTTGGAACAGTCTATATTCTCTTGTTTCCTAACCTGCCATAGTCTCTATTAGGAGCACACAGCTGCAAGCCGGAAGGTCGCAGGTTCAATTCCCGATGAGGTCGTTGGATTTTTCAATTGACCTAATCCTCCCAGTCGCACTATGGCCCTGAGGTCGACCCTGCCTCTAACAGAAATATTCCTGGGGGTGGCAGGCGCGTAAGGCTGATAGCGTCGCCGCCATCTGTGAGCCAGCTCATTGCGATGAACACTGTTAACGTTCTGTGACCCCAGCAATAGAGGTCAGCAAACTGTATCATAGTTGGTGTCATCATCACGACTTGACGGATCTGAGGAGGACAATGTTCCTGAGAACGTTCCATCACTTCCACCTTCTAGCTCAACGTAATAATAGTCCTCCCTTACATTCTCAGAGTTTGTCTTCAAATAATAATAGTTCAACTTTCTCCTGTCGTTTTCCTTGGTATCACATTCACAAATCTCAGCATAGATATTCTCCTCCTCGCACTTGTCAATGTCACCTATCGCATCAGCAACGTCACTGTAGGGCAGGTCATCCGCAGCAGGCGTCACTATCGATGGCAGATCTCGATTCTGGATGCAGGAGTATAGCTGGGATTTAGCATCGTGCTTGCAAAGGTCAATGTACGGTCGTTGATGGGGCCGTGATTCATTTTTGTGATGACAGATGGCGGAAGGAGTAAAATTATCCACAAGCCTTTCGGCATCACTAGCGTCTTGCGTACGTAGTTCTCCTCGTTGCTGAGAGATGGCATTCTTGTAATTGCAGTGTGGCACTGCAGAAAGGTCGTGTGCAAAATTTGTTGCTCGAGACGAAGATGGCGTGTAAGTAAAGGAGGAGGATTTTTTTGTTGTTCGTCGTGACTTGTTCTTAGTTTTGCTCACTTTTTCTTGGCCTTCTTGAGCTGGCTGTCGTTGGGTCGTTGACTTCTTCCCCTCTGCTTCTGATGCCACTTCTCGTTGCGATGGGAAGATGTGATGGGTGACTTTTATCTGGCGCCGCCAGAAGTCTCCTCTATCGCGACAAAAAGCTAGCGCTGTCTGCAGAAGGGGAGACTTGAACAGCCTGGACTCGAACTCGTGATGGAATAACGGTCTTGTGAGGAAGAAACGGGAGTCGGCGTCCATCTCGAGCAGTTTGGGCACAGCTGACGTCACTGGGCTTGCATTAGTGAGATGATTACTTCCGGTCCTGCTGTTAGAATGAATGATGACGTCGTGAGGCAACGTACACGCTAAGATCACGTCTTCCTCTTGATAGCCTTCCAGCAATAACGTGCCTGAAATTAGAAAATATACGTTAAATTTACCAAGGGCACTGTGCCCAAACCATGTTGTAATGGAACCAATTTTTCGGATTTCCCCTCGTGAGTAACCCAGTATACTGCATACTGAGTTTCGTAACTTATAAGTTTGCCCAAGTATAATTAGAATGTCCAAGTCAAGGAGGATGAGATGGGCAGGGCATGTAACACAAATTGGGGGAAGAGTAACGCATATAGGAAAGCCAGAATAAAGGAGACCACTAGGAAGACCAAAACGTAGGTGGATGAATAATATTAAAATAAATAGGATGGGGTGGTGTGGACTGGATTCATCTGGCTCAGGATTGAGACAGGTGGAGGGCTTTTGTGAACACGATATTGAACCTTCGGCTTCCGTAAAATGCTGGGAAGTTATTGAGAAGCTGCACAACTGGCAACTACTCTACGCAGTTAGTTACCTGGAGTAACCAATATGTTCTGAAAGTTCTGAAGATGAAATCTGTTTGCATGTCAGCGCAGACCCATGTGTTGCGAGCCCCTCGCTTTTCCGGGTTTCGGAAATTTGCTTTTAGACACTTCGTAGGGTGCCTTGCACGGGGATCAGCCCGTCCCCTTGCATAATAGTATCGCACATAAAAGCCCCATCACCAAGTGAGATTCGAACCCACGATCCCAGTGTCAGAGCGGCACTTGACCGGCCACACACAGAGCAGAACGCTCTTAGGCTTTGGGCCTGTCTTCTGTTGCGTGTCATATTCAGAGCACCAGCACGTCATGTAGTGGGGTGGCGTCGGCACTAATGGAGGTGAATGGTCTGTGACTGTCCCGTTTTTATCCCCTCTCATGAGAAGCTAGATGAGCCCCGGACGTGATCTGACGTTGTACGGAAGAGAAAACATTCCTGCTGCGTCAAATTTGCTCCTGTAAGCAATCATTTTATTGACTGAGCCATCCTGGCTCCCCCAATCAGCATACTGCATGCTTATTATTACAGTCAACTTGCAATAAATAATTGTCCGTTAAAATAGACGTTGTACATACATACATACATACATACACACACACACATATTGTGGCGTATAGACCCGTTGATAGCAAAGATCGCGAAACAAACAACGGAAAAACAGCCGTTGCTAGGCAGCGGCCAGGGTGTCAATGAATTGGCTGAGTAGCGATCACGTGGGAACGATATATGACCGACGGTAAGGACACAAGCGGAGGACAGTGTTAAGACCCGTTACCAGGTGACGATTAGCGAACACTGGGAGGTTGGTGTGAGATGGCCGCCAGCCTGGGAGTTAGTTGTAAGGGAGTCTGTGAAGTGTGTCAACCAGTGACGATGTTATAGTTATGTGCAGTCACGAGTCGTGTGTTTATAAGTGAGAAATAAATCCAATTAACAATCCATACCCCGTCTACAGTCACTAATACACGCGACAATATGCTGCGGAAGCCTACAATTTACATAGTTCACTCACTATTCCAGTCCTTCTCAAAACGGTCTAAAAGAAGGAGATGCTTTACCGCCACTGCTTTGCTTTTCAACTTTGCTTTAGAATATGCCATTAGGAAGGCCCAGGGAAACCAGGTGGGACTGAAAGTAAATGGGACACATCAGCTGTTGGTCTATGCTGATGATGTGAATCTACCGGCGATAATGTAGATACCACAAAGAGAAACACACAAACTTTAATTGACCCTAGTAAGGAGGTTGTTCTAGAAGTAAACATAGAGAAAACTAAGTATATGTTAGCGGCCTCCGTAGTCTACAGGTAACGTTCCCACCTCATGACTCGTGGTACGCGGGTTTAAATACCCGGCGGAGGTCGTCGAATTTTTAAGGGCGGAAAAATTCAGGGAACAAGTCCTCCGGGAGGGACTTTAAGCCGTGGGTCCCATGTCGTAGCTTTACGGCACGTAAAAGAACCTCATATCTCCAAAGGAGATCACTGAGCCAAATTCCAGGACGTTTCCCGCCCAACAATAGTCTCTAAGGCCTCTGATAGATGGGGGAAGCATTATAGACACCACCAAGCAAGTGGAGGCCGAACTCGCTTGCTCGGCGGGACTGATGGTACGCGCCATTATCGGTAGGGTATAGAAACTGGTAGAATATCATAGAGAGAAGCACAATGGACCAATACTGGTCTAAGTGCATGGGGAAAACCCACCCTCTCCAATAACTAACTAACTAACTAACTAACTAACTAAGTATATGTTGCTGTCTCGTCACCAAAATGCAGGGCAAGATCACGACATGAAGATAGGTAACAGATGTTCTGAAAACGTGGCACAGGCAACACACCGTCACATGTCAGAAGCCACACACGTATCTGCCAAATTCCAGAAGTTTGGTGTATGTCCACTGAACTACACGCCTTAACATGCCACAGAACAGTAATCTTAACATTTCCATCAATTTAGGGCGAGACTTTGGTGACCGTGTGTATATGCTACATAGTTTATAGTCCTGGAGTCGCTTCTGAAGGCCCTGTATAGCCCCAATAAAAAAGACTATTAACCGTCAATACATTTTTTATCACTCGCCAGTCCTGCCTGGAACCCTTGTTCATTTACATCTCAATTGGGAGTCGAGAAATGTCATATAAAACTGTACATACTCGAGCGCTGTTAACATTGTGAGATTATAATTTCTCGCTTTTGTGTCAAGCCAATGACTCGCTGCTATTCCTCCTACCAATGACAATCGCACTGCCGCCATGACGAGGCTACTGACCTTGCCACAACTTTATAATTGTTGCGGAGAGTGTAACCCGACGCTCCGAGAGGAGCACAAATGCGAATCAATCGTGGATTTCCAAACTGGGTATCGCGGAACCCCTTGCTACTCGGAAGTAAGGGGTAATCTTTATCTTCCTCTTTACTGTGGACCAAAGTCCTTTCTGAATTGTTCCATCTTTTACTTGGTCGTCCTAGGTCATCTTTCCTCATGAGTGTACATATCGCCGAGATTTTGCTTGCCACCCACTTTCACGCTGCTTATGGCTTATTCCTTGACCCTGAAGATGGAGGCGATATGTTCCTCCGAAACGTAGGTTGGCTTTCAACGGGCTACAAGGCGTCACATCCCAGAAGCTCAGAGCCTACACCTCCTTTCCGAGTCACAGCCCGGCAGATTCAATGCCCGTTTCAACTGACATTCTCACTTTTGTCTTCTCGTCCTCGTAAGGGAAGGGAAAGACTAGCGCAGGCCTACAGTTTACCTTCAAACACGTTCTTAACCCTTTCAGAGTTACTCTACGACTGGCTGTTTACCGCCAATCAGTTCGTCTTGGCGACAAGCCCCTTGAGACTCACGATTAGCGATCTTTTTTCTTCAACTGATCCCTTGCTGTCAGTCCTTATGTAACATAAGGAGGGTACGTCTGTCGTTTACCATTCCTGCTGGCCCTCGCCAGCGCAGTCATTCCCGGGTCTGAGTTCCGCGGGACTCATAACCATCATATTTTACTGTCTCAGATTCGAGAGTCCCCCAATCTTTAGGACCAGGTCCCTATATTTATATCTCCCAGGAACAGTGTGGCCCGGTTATACCCCAAAGCACTGGTTTCCCCTTTCGTCGCCTCCTGAGACTCGTAGGGCTACGGTGGAGGTATTCGAACCTGCCTCCACAAGGGGCTTTAAAGACTGAATTTGTTCTAATTAATACATGTACAAGAATTGAGTCCGTACCTCACAGGAAACACATTATGTCTCCACTACAAAGCCCAACCGGTTAATGCTGTTTAAGGAAACAGACGCTGTTTATTGTGAGAACCATACGGAACACACAAATACACTGTGTGTGCAAAACGCAGAATTTTAGTATGTTAATGCAGGTGGTACGTATTCCTCTAATAAATTTTTATTATTTTTTATTATTTTATTTAAACCGCAAATGGGTTTTTACTCCGGTGGCAGTGAAACTACAATAAGACACAACACACAAATAACACACATCACACAAAATAGCACAGCACACTCAAACAAAACACAACACAAAACTGAACAAACAATAAAGGACACACTACGCACAATGAATACAATGCAAATACAATTATATAAATTAATATTAATAAAAATAAGCCTACTATACACTAAACAGTGACAGTAATGGAATACGTAATGTTGTGAACTGATGCACCCACACTTCACATCCTCATCACAGTTCACTTCACTTCACTTCACTTCACTTCACTTCACTTCACTTAGGCACTCATCACAGTTTACTTCCCTTCATTCCACTTCACTACACTTACGTTCACTTCACATCCTCATCACAGTTTACTTCCCTTCATTCCACTTCACTACACTTACGTTCACTTCACATCCTCATCACAGTTTACTTCCCTTCATTTCATTTCACTTCACTGCATTTTTGGATGATTTCTCCCACATATTCACTTCGCCTATTTATCACTTTCCTAACCCTATTCCTAAAATTGTTTGGTTTACAGGAGAGAGTCCCTAAAGCATCTGCAGGTAGCTGGTTCCAGAGCTGGATGGTCCTGTTTACAAAGGAGTATTTCCCGATATCTGTCCGTTGTTTTCTGCTCCTAATTTTCTTGCCATGATCGCCCCTGCTCAGATAGCATGGCCTTTGTAATGTATCACCTATAGCCTTCCAAGCCCATTCTCCCGTGTATCTGCCTGCGCTGTGTCAAGGTTCCCCATTCGAATCATTTCTACGCTGTGCAAAATTAGTCGCCATGTTTTACACCCAGTCTAGAGCATTCCTGTAAGGATCCCAGCACGCCGCTGGTCTTTAACGGGTTAGGTATGATTTCTATCGGTGCAACATAACCTTAATTTGCACACGGACCATCGCGTGGGGATGTGGGGCTGTTACTGTAGACATTATTAATATTGGCCAGCTTCATGGGGAAAGTGCCCCACTGGATAGGGGGCTGGGTGGGCCCCAAGGAGGCATTCTGGTCCTGGTAACGAACAGCACATCGTATACACGGAATCATTTCGACAACCTGTGCTTCTGCTGCGGTTTCTCGGTGAGCACACCCGAGTCTTTCATAGTGCAAAAGCGGCATATGCCTACCTGCAACCACTTAATGCACTTTCTTGCGAGGTCTTTGTCAATCACTGTTTCATTGCTTAGCAACCATTTGCCTAATAGGACAGGTGAACAGCTGCAACGTTATGACGGTAAATAACAGAACGCTGGACCTATTCCCTAAATCACATTCATGAGGTTGTTTCTTGTTGCAAATGGAAATACTCAAATTTTGGGTAACTTATTTTCTTTTTTTGTCAAGAGTAATATGGGGCTCTACTGTAAGATTTGGAGTTTCTGCGGCGGTGAAGATGCAGCACAGTAACGTCTTCTGCATTAAAACACCGTGCAGTCTGGTAACAAAGTATCATTTTTTTCGGAGGTGTGTAATGTTTCTCTCTTCACGAAAATGGCGATAGTATGTCCCTAAAACCAGACTACACGGTGTCACAGCCCCGAAAATTTCGACGTAAACAGTTAAGTCTAGTCGTAGGATTATCATGACCGCCTCTATGGTCTAGTGGTCAGAGTTCCTGGCTGCACTACCAGAGGTCCCAGGTTCTGAGAAGTAGTGGGTCTGGAACGGGGTCCACTCAGCCTCGTGAGGATAACTGAGGAGCTATTTCAAGGAAACAGCGGCTCCGGTCTAGAAACCGAGATTAACGGCCGTGTGGAACCGTTGCGCTGACCACGTGACACCCTCTATCCGCTAAAGTTGGCACTAATTTCGCCGACAAGCGGCGGTCACACGGTCGGTAAAATTCGCTTGCGGACTAAAACCACGGAGTTTGTTTTGTTATGTCCCTCCAACAATACTACACGGTGTCACAGGTCTGAAGATTTCAACGTAGACATTTAAGCCTAGTCGTAATATTTTCATAAATAAATCAACTCACTACACCTACTTGTGTTCTCCTGCATATGCAGAAGGGAGGGGGGTGGGAGGCGCATGCTAATCGAGCTGTGTGTCTGCTGTGTGCTCTATTCTGACTTCAGAAACAGTTGACCGACTTTCACGAAACTTGGTATGAACTTTCATGCTATTTAAGGCCACCCAGCGCCATACATCAGTAACAACAACATGGCTGACGCATTAACTTCTGATGTGGGAGCGTCTTAATTTAAGGCCCATAAATAATGTATTTTAACAGAGATTTAAAAGATATTCACTTTTAAAGCATTTTTTGTATGAAATGTACACAATGATATGGCAGCAGTGCGACTAATTTATTTCGCTTTCGACTTTATGGCGGTTACTGACAGACCGCTCGAATATGAAATTCTGGAAGGAGATGCACCTCAGAAATGGTAACACATCAGGCCTGTGTACAAGAGACTGTTTGTAAGTCAACAGTGACAGTCATGGTGGCTGCGTGACACTGTAAGTTTATATCCGAAAACTCACACAATCTAGAGGCGTAATCAAGCAACCAGTTCTCCATAAGGGTATAGTAAGGGCAGCAACAGATCGACAGGACTAGAAATCTACACAGCAGAACAGAATTCCTTTTATATGCCTATGCTAGGGGCCGGAAGGTCGAGGTGTCCATTCCCGATGAAGCCACTGGATTTTTCAATTGACCTAGTCCACTAAGCCTCTAACAACGATGAGTACCTGGAATCTTCCTGGGGGGTAACTGGTGATTGGCGCGTAAAGCTGACCTCACCGCCATCTGTGAGCCAGTTATCTAGAAACTATGGAAGCCTCGACGTCTCACAACCCTATTGACCTACACGGCCTGTTACAGGGATAGTTTTACTTTTTTTACTTGAGGCCTACTCGAATGCTTTGAAACGCAACTTATGGATATGCGGTGTAACATATCTGCTGTTATTTACTTCTACAAACATAAAGAATACGTGGATCTGTGCCTTCAGTTTGACATACGTCTTCATTACGTGACGTTTAACATTAACTTCACACGATGCTTCTAGCAGATTCCCTATCTGCCTGCCGTACAGATAGAGCCGCCAGAAGCACAGAAAGGATTGAGAAACTCGCTGACCTGTGAAGCCGACCGGAAGGGGCGTGGGTAGGGGCCCCGCCATGAGGTGGACTCTCACGGGCAGCCTGTGCTCCCGCAAGAGTTGTGGCAGCAGGTACAGCGGTCCATGGCGCGCCTCCACACCAGCACCACCTAGCGACACCGCGAAAAACTGCCCCGTGGTGCTCAGCGGCACGAACACCATCTGTAAGGACAACATTATTATTATTAACGTGGCGTCAGGATAGCTCGGTCGGTATGGCGACATGCTACGGGCTGGACTGCCTGGCTTCATTACCGGCTGTGCCAGACTCCACAGTGTCCAGACCGACTCTGGGGCCCATCTAGCTACAAGGTGTTGACCACTCACCTCCATCTATCTCCACTCCCCAATACACCTTCATGGCATAGTGCTTAGTTAGATACGTACAGGGACTTTTTTTTTCCTTGGCACTACAGCCCCAGTGGGCCTAGGCCTACCTCCATGAACTCCGTTCACTTCGGTTTACAGGGACTTTACCTTTTATTATTTTTATTATTATTATTAGTAGTAGTAGTAGCAACAGTAGTACTTTTCTCCTGTGGTTCCGTATGACCCACACAGTATGGGTGTGAAACTTTGTCTCTGACATTAAGGGAGGAACATAGACTGCAGGTGTTTGAGAACAGGGTGTTGAGAATATTTGGACCGAAGAGAGATGAAGTTACAGGAGGTTGGAGAAAACTGCATAATGAGGAGCTTCCTAACTTGTACTCTTCTCCAAGTATAATTAGAATGATCATGTCAAGGAGGATGAGGTGGACAGGACATGTAGCACGAATGGGGAGAAAATGAATGCATATAGGATATTGGTGGGAACGCCAGAAGGAAAGAGACCACTGGGATGACCAAGGCGTATGTGAATGAATAATATTAAAACGGATCTCAGAGAGATAGGACGGGATGGTATGGATTGGATTAATCTGGCTCAGGATACGGACCAGTGGAGGGCTCTTGTGAACACGGTAATGGACCTTCGGGTTCCATAAAATACTGGGAAATTCTTGAGTAGCTGCAGAATTGGCGGCTCCTCCAGAAGGGCTCAGCTCCATTAGTAAGTAGTAGTAGTAGTAGTAGTAGTAGTAGTAGTAGTAGTAGTAGTAGTTCAAACATGTAGAGAGAAACAGGGAGAATGACTTTGAAGTGCCTGAAAACAGCAACAAAGTCGAGCAGCCAGCAAAGCAAGCAAACTGCAGATGACGCAACAGAAGCGCCAGTAGCACGCGTAAGCGTTCCCGAAGCAGCACACCGTTTCCTACACGGCATCTCCGGCGATCATGACAGTAATTGTGATGATGAAGATGTGATGGATGGTGGACAAGAGGGAGGAAATCAAGCAACAAACAGAAATACAAAAAAAAAAACTCCGTTGCTGTAGTCCGCAAGCAAAATATACCGACCGGGCGACAGCCGCTTGTCGGCGAAGTTAGTACTAACTATAGCGGATAGAGGGTGTCGCATGCTCAGCGCAACGGATCCCCACGGCCGTTAATCTCGGTTTTCTACACCGGAGCCGCTATTTCCTTGAAATACCTCCTCAGTTATCATCCTGAGTGGACCCCGTTCCAGACCCACTAGTTCTCAGAAAATCTGGTAGCGCTGGGAATCTAACCCGGGGCCTCTGGATCTGTAGCCAGGAACTCTGACCATTAGGCCACAGAGGCGGTCAACTGTCATCAATCATCATATTAATAAAAACAGTTGTTAAAAATGGATGGACGAAAAGTAATTTCGAACATCCTAGAAATTATATATAATTGTTTTAGGTGGTGCGTCCTACAGAAATGTTCTGGATAGAACTTCTAATTCAGCAAGAAACAAATGACAGTGTCTGCGAAGTGTTAAGACGGACGCCAGTGCCCTCACGGAATTGCGGAAGCCCAGATTTAAAATATTCGCGGTTGATGGAATGTTCAGAAATCGTGGCGCCGGGAATGGAACCCGGACCTCTGGATCTGCAGCCAGGAACTATGGCCACTACACCACAGAGACGGCCATATTATTAACAACGATTAGATAAGATAGGATGGAATTGGCGGGACATATAGTACGCAAACTTTCCAGCATGAAATGCAAAGAAAAGAGAAAAACGCTGGGAAATGTCGGAGGAAAATATTGAAACGGATATTTGAGAAAGAGGCTGTGAAAATGTACAGAGTTTCAGCCTTATCCCCTGGAGGGTCTTCTTCGTGGAGTATCCTCAAGTCGCCCGCAAATTTCTAGCCCACCTGAATAATAATCTTATGCTACAGACGGCCAGCCGTCGCCGAATGTAATGCAAATGGTCGGCACTCGCTTCACGTGTCTCACCTGATTCTTGTTGTTGAGACACTGTGCATATCTCGTGTTGTTATGACTCCGTCCAATCAGAGGAAGTGACAGTCTCTTGTTACTCAGGGCGCTGTTCCGGGAGCCAGTGACATCCTCGAACACTGCCAGCAGTTTCAGGATGTTGCCTGCTGGTACGATGGTCTTGGTGTACTGCGCCCGCTTCCTAACAGAGTCATGGATTGCGTCTGCGGAAGAAACACACCTCCAGTATTACATTATCTGACTCGTAGTACGCGGGTTCAAATACCCGGCGGAGGTTGTCGAATTTTTAAGGGCGGAAAAATTCAGGGAACAAGTCCTCCGGGAGGGACTTTAAGCCGTGTGTCCCGTGTGGCAGCTTTACGGCTGTAAAAGAACCTCATATCTCCAAAGGAGGTCACTGAGCCAAATTAACGGACGTTTCCCGCCCAACAGCAGTCTCTAATACCTCTGGTAGATGGGGGAAGCATTATAGATACCTCTCAGCTAGTAGAGCCGGTCTCGCTGGCTGGGCGGGACTGATGGTAAGCACCAGTACCGGTAGGATATAGAGACTGGTAGAAATCATAGAGGGAAGCACAATGGACCAATACAGGTCTAAGTGCATGGGGAAACCCACCCTCCCCAATAACTAACTAACTACATTATCTGAACTAATTGATAACAAATCAAGTTAATGGATGGAGAGACGAGGCGCGAGTCGGTATAGCGACGGGGTAAGGTCTCGAAGGCGCAGGTTCGATTACCAGCAGTACAAGATTTTCCTTTTCTCCACAGCGTCCAGACCGGCTCTGGGGCCCACTGGGCGGTTCTTTCCCCCGGGTTTAAAGCGGCACTTTTTACCTCTTAGGGACAGACGACCGCCTCTGTGTTCTAGTGGTCAGAGACCCTGCATACAGATCCAGAAGTTCCGGGATTCGATTCCCAGCGCTACCAGATTTTCTGAGAAGTAGTGGGTCTGGAACGGGTCCACTCAGCCTCGTGAGGATAACTGAGCTGCTATTTCAAAGTGGCTCCGGTGTAGGAATGCGAAATTAACGGCAGTGGGGATCCGATACGCTGACCACGCGACACCCTCTATCCGCTAAAGTTGGTACTATTTTTTTTATTGCTAGTGGAGTGGGACTAAGTCCCTTGTACTGCGGCCACTTCTGGCCTATTGTACCAGCCCCAGATGATAGGTGAGGGTGATTGTGGAGCAATTGGTGGAATGAAGATTGGCAGGGGAAACCGAAGTACTCGGAGAAAACCTGTCCGTACCACTCTGTCCACCACAAATCCCACATGACATGACCTGAGATCGAACCCGGGGCGCATCGTTGGGAAGCCAAAGTCCGTCTCTTCTGCGAACCAGTGAGAACGCGACGTGTCTTGTGAAGGCACCTTCGCGGAACAAAGGTCTGTGTCGGTATGTTTGTATTTCTCACTGGCATATGAACAGACAAAGCATGCAGAAAATAGAATTTAACGTGTTCCGAATGATGACGTAAAGGTCCACGTCACTATCTGACAAAGATACACCGTCGTTCTCGCATTAGTTAAAGTAATATTTAGGTTTCAGCTATATTCTCTAGGTATTTCTGTAAATCAATCATCACCACAAAGTGTCGCAGATCAATGCCATCATGAAGAAGTGGCTGCAGAGGGCAAACTGTGATATAGTGAGCACTATTCGTAACCTAAGTGCATAATGTTAAAACATCTTATGTGACAGTGTTTCCTGCTCGTAGTGGTGCGCCTCTGAAGATGATTCTTTTGAATCGAAACATGTAAGGAGAATAAAGACTGAAGTGGTGTAGACCTGTATGTCATACTGGACTGAAAGTTATCTACTTTGTTACTAGATTATATTTGCAAACAGAAATGAGTACCAGGAATTAATTAAATGATTTTCCTGGGGAGTAAAGCGCGGCCGGCGCGTAAGGCTGACAACCTTACCGCCATCTTTGAGCCGATTGTCTAGATAATGTGGGACCCTCAACGTCTCACAACACTATGGGCCTTCACGGCCTGTTACAGGGATAGCTTTACTTACTTTACTTTACACACAACAGACATCGCCACAACAGACATCTCGCTGGACAAGCAACTAGTATTTACTAAAAGTTCCTGAAGATGGTGTACAACACTCGGGATTACTGGGCTTTTTCACTTTGTCCCTCGTCTGGTATTCTAAGGCTGTGTCCACATTAGTGAGCCGAGGTTCGAACCAAGCCCAGTCGCGAGCACATGTAACTCTCCACGTGGCTCGTAGTTATGTTCGGCAACTGTGGACGCGTTTAATGCTCGCGAGAGGGTTGGGCTCGAAGCTCGGCTCGCTAATGTGGACACAGCCTAAAGAACACGTTTCGTAAACTGGATCTGTTTCCGTCCTCAGGTGAGGGGTTGGAGGCACTCTGTTGGGTCCGTTATAAAGAGCTGACGTCAGTCACTGGACTGGACGATTTCTTACAGGACCAAAAATGAAACATGGGTGCAGGGGAGAACTTGCAAAAATATGAGCCGAATAAAATTCCCAGTCCCACTTTACGAAAGCGCTCACAGCCATTTGGACTAATCAGTCTTGGGACTGAAAGAAGCATATCGGCTTCATACACGTACTTGTGATTGTATGACGTGACAACATCAGGTTCGCTTGTGTATGCCGAACCTAGGCTTAGGTTTCTCAAGCGACCTCTGTTCACATTTGTCTATGCGTTTCTGCTCGCTCCGTGCTTTCCCGTCTTGGCCTCCTACGTTTAGTGAACTATGAAGCTATTCCCCTGTGCTCCTGCTGCTTCCTGTCCCTCAACACCCTCTTCAGTGTTACGTTCCTCCCTTAGGGTGACGCACAAAGTTTCACATCCTTACGAAACAACAGGTAAGGGCACGCGGTAGCGTAATTAGTTGAGGCATTATGCTACATGCTGGAAAGTCGCAAGTTCTATTCCCGATGACGTCATTGGATTTTTTCAATTCACCTAATCCTCAGCCTCTAACAGAAATGAGTACGGGGTATCTTCCGGGGGGGTAAAGGGCGGCCGGCGCGTAAGGCCGACAACCTCACCGACATCTGTGACAGATTTGTCTAGAAAACGTGGGAGCCTCGACGTCTCACAAACCTATGGGCCTCCACGCCCTGTTACTAAGATAGCTTTTACCTTTCTTACAAAAAAAAACAGGTAAAATTATACTTTCGAATATTCTGATTTTTAGGTTTCGGTATAGAAGACGATTACACAAGATTCGACTGTCCTTACATAAACAAAGATATGTTAAACAAGACTGCACTGTTCCTCGCAGCGACAGATGCAGGGACAGTTGAGTTCAAGCTGGGTATAGCCCGCTTCATGAACAGTCTACGGTTCCTATTTAGCCTACTGAGGTCATTTCCTGCTGTATGCAACCAGAAGGTTTAATCAGTCACAAAATTTCTCTACTGATCTCACTTAAATTCAGTTTTAATATTATCTTTACAACTACACTTACATCTCTCCAACTGCCTCATCTACCACATTTTAAATGCATTTGTTGTTTCCTCTCAAATGTATTGCAAGATATGTTTACTTCGCATTTTTCTTCATTGTGTAATTTTCTCAATTCCCTCCCTTGAGTCAACTTATTCCAATCACTACAGTTTCCAGTTCTTTTGTCAGAAAGGTAAGCCCCCTGTCGCCCATACAGTGCGCAAGGAGCGTGCTGAAGTCACAACTGCTTTGTGACTGCTTCAGTGCTTAGCCTACATGTGTCTTTCAAACAGAAACCACTTTCACTGGCTATTTGAATATGCAATTAAATCATCATTCCTGAAGAGCCAATTCACGTTGCAAGACAACCTTGGCCCACTCTACGTCAGCGTCAACTCAGCAACGCGTTTCGTATGTGTCCACAAAACATTAGTCGAGGCCTACGTCATAAACCTGACGGAATGCGTACGGTCAACCGATATTTGAAAAGTAGTTTTATTTGGCTGCATTTACAACTGATCTAAAAATACATTCAAACAAGCAATAACGAAATATTAACCACCCAGTAGATCCTCGGTAATCCGGAGTAATTGGGGGAGGGTCATCGGGATTAAGCGATAATCCGGATTAGTGAAGCGAAATGTAGCCCTAAAAGAAAAAAAAGAACTTAGAACGCAAATAAATGAAAAATATAATGAAATAAGTAATGCTGTTGAAAATAAATAACAAAATATCACTGTAGAGCATATATTTAAAAACTATAAAAATACATTACACTTGTTCATTGATAGAAGACTCAGAAGTTGTACTTGTTTCTAAACGTAATAATGCAGGTCTGAAGAAACTGTCAAGTTTTGTCTGGACAGACAAGTGACATCTGCCTTCCTAAGTGCCACGTGTCTTTTAAAGTATGTACTCAACTGTAGACAGCATTTTTCTTACTTCGATCCAGATTAATTGTAACTGGATTAGCGAGGTTTTACTGAACCTAACACACAGACTTACTGATACCCATGGTACTCAATGAGCAACCAGCACATGTTCAAGCAGGACATTCAATAAATATTCCATTCTTACGAAAATCGTAGGCCCGTCGCAGCCAAGGGCTGTTGTCCAGGTTTCACAGTGTGGTTAATCCTAACTTGCTCTGAAGTGTGAGAAGCTGATAGTCGCTCAGCTAGTCAAAACATTTCCCGCGTTTCTACTGGAACTCGAAAGTTCATCACTGTGTAAACGCCTGCAACTGTGTTCTATCCTGAGCCAGTTCAATCCGGTCCACATCCTCAAACTATATTCTTTAAGGTCTGCTATAATATTAACTTCTCATTGTGAGTGTAATTAAAAAATAATAAGTAAAATGGGGCTGGAATGAAACTGTTAAACGAGTGACGAAAATTAAGAAAAAGCCTAGTACACCAATCTCCTGGCTGAGATCGCAAAGCGCGTGCCAGATCGCAAAATGCGCACATGCGCACATCGTGGCCCCTACCTTAGGGTCAATACTGTGGCATATTTGCTCACAGTAAGAACTGTGAGGCCAGCAGAGGTAGCTGTTGCTAGGGAACGGCTCTGCATCACGCCTGTTGGTAGGCAGCAGATTCGTAATATGCAACAATGGAGTAACTGGGAAGCGGTGTTCTCTACGCGGCCCGTTGGATAGATACGGGAGGCAACAACAGAACTGCTAGGAGCGATGCTTTCTGTACGATCCGTGACGAGGTGTTATAAGCAGGACAAGTCTAGTGTTTAGTTAATTGTGAGAGAATCGCCGTCCAGTAAGGACGTGAACACGGAAGCTGAGGAAGCTACGGAGTTGGTAGCCGTTACCAGTCGACAACCAGTGAAGGTACAGAGTGCTGCGAAAACTTTGTATTTGCAGTAGTGAATTGTTGAGCGTGTGATTAGCGATTACGCTATAGTTACTTGTAGTTACGATTTGAAGTGGGCAATAAATCCAATTACCAACCCAAACCCCGTCTATAGGCACTCAGTCATGTGTCAATACTTTAGAAGCAAGGCCACGATGCACAGAATATCGCTCCTAACTCGTATTTAGAAAAACGAGGTTCATATCCCTCCAGATCGCAGATGGGACAGTACATTCAAATCGTCCACGGTGTCTTCTGTCGAGATCCGTTTTAGCATTTCCCTCTTCTTCTTTCTTCATGGTTTAGGCCTTTGACCTCTACCGGCCAAAGATTCTCCGGAGGTTTTAAGGATTACGTCTGACGCCGTTTATTGTGTGAGGGAATTTCCAGTGTACACGATACTTCGAGAGTCATCTCTGTTCGAGCCTTCATGTTATGAATTCATTTTCTACTTTCAAATTAGAGGCGACTGTTTCCATCCAACCCGGGACCTTTTAAATTTGACCGCCGTGGTTTTTGTTACTGTTACTCGTTTTTTGTACAATGTATTAAAATTAGTTCAGAATGGTCTTGTCAGGTCTTGTGATTTATGTCTGAAACTGAACATGACACAATTTCATTTCGGTAAGTAAGCGCCATACTTTACGTAAGGCTCAAATCAATATATATATATATATATAGAGAGAGAGAGAGAGAGATTTCCTGACAAGAAAACTACTCATCGTCGAAATTTCATCTTAAGTCACACATCGCTATATCTTACTGACCTCTATAGCTGCTGTTAGAAACGTTTCGCTTCTAGTGACGTGGAAATTCGGCTAGCTGGTAGAGATAACGGCAGGTTATGAACAGAACTTTGCTCTCTTTCTCTTGACAAGAGTGCGGTAACGTATTCCGCACATGTTTTGGAGATCGCCTAATTCAATCTTTCCCATCTGCGACAAGAATGTTCCTTCTCACACATACCACTCAATTTTTTACAGAAATGAACCAACTTATAAAGCAAAATAATAAATAACTATTCAAACATTATTTTATGTTATCTTTCTCTCTTATGGCCGCGCCATACCTCAAGAGGTTAGTCGCTGCCTTCCCACCGCGGAGGCCTGGGTTCGATCCCGGGTCTGGTCAAGTGGGATTTGTGATGGACAAAGTGGCGCTGGGGCGGGTACTCTCCGAATACTTCGGTTTCCCTTGCCACTCTTTATTCCACCAAACTCTCCATCATCATGATGACCCAGGGCAGGCTACAATAGGCCAATGAGTGGCCGCCGTTCCGAGTGGACCCAGCTGGACTCCATTTTTTTTATTTTGGGGGTAAATTTTTGGCCATTTTAGGGATTTTTTCTTCATATGTTTTCTGAAATGTGAATAACATGGAAGCGAAGCGTTCTTTCTTTCCTTCTTTAGTCCATTTTTCAAATATTTTCAGGTTATAAAAATCCGGGCCCTGCATATTACATTTTTGGGTCATATTTTAGGTCATTTTTTGGATTTTTTCGGTCATTTTATAGGTCATTTTTTAAATATTTTCAGGTCATCAAAATCCGGGCCCTGGTTATTACCTTTGCTGTCGTTCAGTTTGTAGGCTGTGAGTTGTGTCTTGGTTAGAAACCGCGTGACTTGCGCTGTTATGAGCTGCTGAATATCGGAGTAACACGGAGCCATCAGCTGTCCTTTTGGTGTCACGAGGGAGAACCAACCTGTGAACAAGAACACAGCCACTTCAGGGCACGAGGACTCCTTGTTGTCTACGGCTTATTAACAATAACAATAACAATTAACAATTAACCCGCCAATAGTCACACGCAACTAATAAATGGGACAATATTTACACAGAAGGATGGATAAAAATAAATACTGTTTCATTTATTTCTGGATTGGAAGATGTATATCTGTGAACATTTTTAGCTCTGTAAGTGATATTGTGAACTCACCAACTGACATCAGCATCTTAATGTGTTAACAGAATGATAAGCTACATCCGTACACTACAGAAACTTTCCAAACATACAGTGACGTTAGAGCAACTGACAGGCGATAATCAGTTTTGCTTGATCAAGGCTGTCTAAGATCCGGTGTTGGACCGCGAATTTATACAGCGGTCTTATCTACTAGTTTGTCAGGTGCTCAAGGAAAACCATGTTTGTCAATTACGTGTTTAGTTTATTTTCCAAATTACGAACTTTAATCACCGGACTGCCTACAAACTACAAGGAGTACAAGCCAAAGATGGCGCTGCCCCGTACCCACCACGTGAGAGCCCCAAATTAAACATTGCGTAGACATGACGTCATTACAGCGGTGCCTCCTCGGATGTAACGCGTTGTAGTTCGGTAATGTCCTCCGACGTTTCAGAGGAAAGTACTGCCTCCATTTGCAGAGTCGACGAATAAATCAAGCTTGGGTTGTTCCAAAATGTCGGTGGAATTCTACCAAAATACACTAGGCGTTATCCTCCACGTGACAGTACTCTATGTTGCCAGGGTCATCTTAAAGAGCCATGCCATCTCGTATCGAAAAAACATGAGATGGAATCCATGGGGAGGGGTTCATTCACCCCCTTAACAAGTTAAAGACTACTAGGAAAGAAGTGTCTCGTGTTGTGTTCCGACAAGTGAACAACCTTTCAATTAAGGCACCATGGTTCACGTCAATAGCACAGCTGTTATTTTAATCAAGGTAATTAAGTAGTTAAATTCATGATACAATCTAACTGATCGACTGGGGAGGGGGGGAGCCTGCCTGTCTAAATCTTAATGCCTTCGCCCTAGTAGCAATAGAAGCAAATAAGAAACGAACTGATGAACAAACTCCCTGTTATCGAATTGAATAGCTCAGAAAACCCATCGCTCGACTCAGTGTTGAGCCAGTTCTATCCAATTCAGAGGCAGGAGTGCTCACGTAAGCAAACAGACCAGGCCATAAGACGTGTATGCAGCCTCCAAAGAATGATAAAGATGGATACATTTGTGAATGTATATAAAAATGTAGTTTTTGTTTATTTATTTGTCAAAACGAATTCCCTCACTGCTGAGGCCGTGAGACGTGAAGCCACGGGAACAAACAATGGATTCGTTCTGGGTATTGAACCCGGTGGGGTCCATGAACCATCCGGAGTAGAGAGCTGCTTCTGGTTGCTGTAACGGGCCAGTCTCCGGCTGCCCGAGCTCTGCGCAATAAAGGTCAAACATCGAAGCGTAAAATTGCAGTGGAATGATACAACGCGGCAACCACGGAGTCAGAGGGTCTCTGGTTTGGTTCTGGTCGTGTCGGACAGCCGATGGCTTACTGACTGACTAAACAACTATCAGAATGTATAGAACTGTAATGTTTATTTTGGACTCTATCCAGTGATTGAGACTAGCTCTTTCTAACGGACCCAACTGAATAGGTCTATCTTGCCCCATCCACCTGAGGACGGAGACAGATCCAGTCGCCGAAACGTTGTGTTTTTTTGTCTTATATATACCAGACCCCAATTATCAAACCAATCTGGACATATGGACTAGAATTATGGGGCTGATCAACTAAATCAAATGTTGCAATCATACAAAGATCTCAATCCAAGATACTCCGTCAAATTGTTTATGCTCCCTGGTACGTAACAAACCATACACTACATACAGATCTACAGGTACCAACCGTGCAGGAAGCAATACGCAAGAAAGCCATCACACATCATAACTCCATAGAAAACCACCCCAATCAGCTCAAGGAATAATTCCTGGAACCAGTAAACAACAGAAGACTCAAAAAACTGTGGCCAAGTGAACTACTCTTAAGTTAATGTATAGATACTAATTATAGATTATACAGGTAATTTCGCTGGATATCAACCTGTTCATGCCACTACTCATTAGTATATCTAATGAGTAATCAGCACTTTAGCTTATAGAATTATGTAATATTCTGATTGCTAACATTTAAAAAGAAATAAAAAAAATACCAGACCATGGATAGAGTCCAAAATAAAACTTACAGTTCTGTACTGCATACACCATTGTCAGAATCCTCTAATAAAGTCTATTAAACTATCAGAATGTCGGCTACTAACTCTCTCGTAACAGGATGTGAAGTTTCGATACATTCGCTACCGAAATTGTGGTCTATTCCATAGTAATCCTCAGGCCCTTCAGGAAAATGGCGGCATACTGCCTTGAATTAAATTTCGACTAC